GAGAGATCCAGGATGGAGCCGATCCGGGTCGTAGCAGTTAAGGGATGAATGTGCAGTGAAAGGGTGGTGGTGGTGGTACGACGGGTGGGGGGGGGGTAAGCGAAGCGAAACGGAAAAGTGGAGGCTGGGGAAAACGTGGTTCAAGGCCCCCCTCTCACTCTCTCTACGCACACGCACATACACGCACACACACTGCTCTATTTTCCTTGTGTGCTTTTAATTTTGAGCGTGCAAACCACCTTTCTATGCGCTCTCCGTCAAATATTTGCTCTTTCTATATTTGCCCGCTCTATAATTCAAACAGATACGATATTTACCGAAGAGCAATCATTTTAATATTCTACAATCTTTAGTTTAAACACCCTTTCTACCATTGCCGCCGCCACCCCCACCCCCTTTAACCCTCCCCCCGTACCGTCGCCTCCTTCTCCTCCTCCTCATTCGAGTCAGTTTTGTCTTTTTTTTATTATTTTTCTTTCATATTTTCATCATTATCATTTAACAAAAAAAAAAAAAAAAATTTTCCAGACTTTTCTCTCCGTTTCAATTACTTTAATGATGTGTTTATTTTTCAATGAAATAAAAAAAAAATTTTTTTTTTTTTTATTTCCCTTTTGAATCTCCCTGGAGATTTTTTGTTTTATATTCTGAATTTACTGGAGACCCATCATAACTTTGAGTCATTAAATTTTTTTCTTTTTCTCCAAAAAAAAAAAAAAACACAATTTTTTTTTAACCCAATCAATTAACATTCTCTCTCTCTCTCTCTCTCTCTTTTCATTTCGTCCCCCCTCTCTCTCTTTTTATATATATTTTTTTCGCGAAACAACGATAGGGAGTAAAACAAAACCGGAAGAACTTTGTACTCGTAATTGTGGTTACTTTTCCGGAAGTACGTCAAAAAAACCGGAAAAACTTCGTACTCGTATTTCGTATGAAAAAAAATTAAAAGACTTACTTTTCCGGAAGTACTTCTTCGTTTCTCCTAACAGTTATTTTCCAGGTAACGTTTTCACGTAAATTTTCATTACATAATTTTTTCTCTATGGATTTTTTTCTTGATAGTAAAACACCTAAAAATTTCAAATTTTAATTTTAACGTTTTAAAATTTTTACCGACGGGGTTATAAATAAATAAATAAATAAATAAATTTTCGGAAAAATTAATAAAAAAAAAAAAAAGTTGACGCATTGAAACGTTTAGTCAATTTTTTGGGTATATTTTTTTTTTTTTTTCCCCCCCATTTTTATCTCGTATCACCATAAGCCCAGTCAGTCAGTCAGTCATTTTTTTTTTTTAAACGTTCGGTTCATTTTTTTTTTTTTGTGTTTTTTCTCCAGCCATAAAAACTATTTATTAAAAAAAAAAAAAAAAAAAAACCGACGTCACGAAAGTGAAGTTTTTCAAATATTTGCAACGCCATCCATCTTTGTTAACGGGTCAAAATAACGTTTTGGTAAAAGTGAGATAAGGTTTTTTTTTTTTTGCCCTGCATTTCAAATACGGTTGATGAACGGTTGACATCCGTTCTCGTGTGTGTGTCACCCTTTCCTATAATTAATACGAACGTGTGTGTTGTCCCCGATAGGCATAGAATATAATTTTAGTAATTAATTACCATCCCGAATAATGTTAAAATTTACAACAACAAAAAAAAAAAACATTTTTTCCCTTTTTCCTTCCTGTTTTTAATAAATAATTAAATAACCGTCGTCATCATCATCATCATCATCATTTCATTTTACCTGACTTTTGTTTTTTGTTGTAAATTTTCATATTATATTACTTTATCTGACTTGATGCGGAACAAAAACCGGGAAAAAGAGTTTAAAAAAAAAAACAAAAAAAAACCGCAAAAATGATGATGCACTTACATGCATACAAAAACCGAGTAAAACGAACCCAGTCGTAAATAATGCAACAACAAATGCAACTTAATTTATTTTGTTTGATCCTTTTGTTTGTTGTTGTTTGTCGTCGTGGTGGTGGTGGTGGCGGTGGTGTTTTACAGAGTCGTGCGGTATGTATTGGTCGTGTTTGTTTCGTATTATTATTATTATTATTATTATTACGTGTGTAGAAACCTGAAATTTTCAACCAAAAACCCTATAATAATTATGATGACTTTTACTTAACCAACAAATAATATATAGTTAAAGTAATAAAAATATTAATTATTATTATTATTATTATAACACAAAATATCCTTTTTTTTTTTTTTTCAAAAACAAATTTTATATTTGCGTGTATATATAAAAAAAAAACAATTAAATTTACATAATTTATATATATATATATATATTATTTAAAAGTGAGCACAATATATTATTATTATTTATTATAAATATATATTTTTAATTTAAAATAATCAGTCTATTCTGTTGCTCTGTTTTTATAATAATCATATCGTACCCTTAATAACTATTATTATTATCATTATTAATAATAATTAATTTACCTTTAGCAACGAACGGATTCCGTCCGGTATGTTTCGGGCATTCTATTAAATATTAACACTTGCAAACGTTAATAAATTATTGATTATTGATTATTATTGATTATTATTGATTATTATGAGTTCAATTTTTCTTTTTTCTTTTTTCTTCATTATTATTATCATTATTATCTTTTCGACTTGGCCGAAAAAAAAAAAGTTTACCTGTTATAAATAAATTTATAAAAAATAAAAAAATTTGGAATGTATAATATCGTTTCGGTTGCTGTGTTTGTTGTGATTGTTTTTGTTGTTGTTGTGTTTGTTGTGATTGTATTTGTTATTGTTGTTGTGTTTGTTGTCATTGTTTTTGTTGTTGTTGTCGTGTATAATGCAAGCGTCGTGTTTGAGAGTATGTGTGTGTGTGTGTGTGTGTGTGTGACGCAATGTGCGAGTGCGATTTAATTAATAATTATTATTATTATTTAATTATTGTTACGATACGTAAACACAAATTTCCCATTATACAATTATTATTATTTTTATTAATATTAATATTTTTGTTATTATTTTTTACCCCCGTAATAAATATATATATACAATAAATATTATTATTATTTGTTTGTTTTTCTCTTTTTTTTTTTTTTTTGAAAAGGACAATAAAATATTTTAAATTATTTTGTTCGTGGAATTAGATTCTACCCCTCTCTCTCTTCTACCCCTACATTAAAACCACTTCTATAAACGTATCGATTGAACAAAAAAAAAAAAATGTCATGACCGTTACAAAAATAATTAAATTTTTTTTTTTTTTTTGGTTTTTTTCTCTTCTGCTTTTTTCCTTTTCCCTCTTTCGAACGAGTCACACAAACACGCAAATAATTTGACGTCATTAAAAATGGCACCCGTACTCGAATGTACGCAATAATATAAAAACAATTAAATAATTTTTAAGGGAACTAATCGGGGGTAAAGGGGTGAAAAAAAAACATCAAAATTCGGAGCTAAAACAAAACACCAGGGGGCGGAGGGGAAGGTAGCAGGGAGGATACCTCCCACCCATCCCACGCCCCCCCCCCAATTCCTAATTTTTCCTCTTTTTCACGACATCGAATAATAAAATTACCGATTTTTTCCTCATTTTCCAAAAAATTTTTTTTCCTCTTTTCGCAAAAATTTAAAATTTTCCTACTACGATCATAATAATAATAATATCTTTAAAAAAACCGAATCTAAAAATTAAAAAATAATAATAATAATATTGAAATAAAAGAAGAAACAAAAAAATTACCGCCAGAGATTTTAACGTAAAAAAAAAAAAAAAAACAAAAAAAAGGCAGCATCCGTTAATCGTGATAATTGACGGAAAAAAAAGGGGGAAAGGAAAGGCGAACGGGGGGCGGGGGGTGAAAGATGATAGATCCTATCATGTGAAAAAAAAAAAAAAAATTTCGATTCCGACGAAAATATTGACCCTTTACGAAAAAAAAAAAAAAAATGTTAATGGAAACCAAATAAGTGTTAAGTAACGCTAAAAAACAATGAAAGTAAAAAGTTTTTTAATTGAAATTCATGTTTGGAATATTTAAAACAAAAACAAAATGCTTTTCTCCGTTTCTTTCATTCTTTTCCTTTTTTACTTTTTTTTGTGGGGGGCCGTCGGGAACGATAAATTTCACAAAAAAAGAAATAAAATTTTTTTTCAAACAATTTTCTCGCCATTGAGAGACTTGAACAGCCTCAATTATTTGCACACAAACACCTTCGAACGTTTCAAAACATACGTCGGAAAACATCGAGCTTTGAATGAATGAATGAATGAATGAATGAATGAATCGATGAACCGAAAAAAAACAAAAAACTCGATTCATAAAGACGTAAAAGATTTGCGTGTTGTTGTTGTTGTTGACTCGACGAAACGCGTTAAAAACCTTCAAAATGGACGTTAAAAGATTTTAAACCTCTTAAATTTCCCCCTCCCTTCTACCTCACCCCCTTTCCCCTTACCCCTCTCCTAACCGTTTACCTACAAATATAATTATTAAAAAAAAAAAAAAAAAATGTTAAAATAATTTAAATGGAATTAAAATTTAATAGAAAAAAAAAAAAAATTAAAAACGAACTAAAAAAAACTAATTAAAGAGAAATTCATGATATAAACACACAATAACTAAAAAATATTAATTAAAACAAACGAGAGCAACCCATGGACTATAAAATAATTATTCATTTTTTTTTTTTTTTTTTTTTTTTTTACTATTAATATTGCCATCATCATCATCATCATCATCATCAGTATCATCAGCATCATCATAATTTTTTTTTGCCGTTCATGATTTTTTGGAATGCGATTCATGAAATGTTTTGTTTTATTTTTTTTTCTACATCTTGAGCTTTTTTTTACTAGATTCAACCTCCGATTATCATTATCATTAAAGGCATCATTTTGATTTAAAAAAAAAAAAAAAAAAAAGGCTTCGTGGGCGTGGACGGCAAATAGTTACGGGAAATCATTTTCATTTAAAAAAAAAAAAAAAGAAAAAAAAAGAACCAGAACATACGAATTTAAAGATCCGTGACTGGTCCCGTTATTGTCACTTGAGCCGTTACCGAAGCCGTTTCGGTGGGAGGAATAACACCGAAACAAGAATTTACAGACCCTTCCAGACTGTTCCCGGAATCTCCTCCTCCGCTTCCTCCACTTCCTCCGCTCCCTTCGTTTTCTTTGTTTTCGCTAATTCCGAAATTACCGGAATCGAGATTTTCCTGAGGAAAACAAACTCCTTTCAAAGGAGGAGTCATGGATATTTTCGACTTTTGCACGGTTCCGCATTCAATTTTCTGACCTTGCCTATTGTTTGCTATTATGAAAGGATTTTTTTCGAGGGATGAACCCAAAGGGCGTACGAGGCATTGTTTTTCATCCGGCATCGAAGACTCGAGCGAAACCCCGTTGATTTTCTTACGTAAAACTCCAACCAACCTTTCCAACCTGAAACAGGGAGAGAGAGAAAAAAAAAAAAAAAAAAAACGTTTGGATTTTCGTAACGGCCATTTTGTAAACGGACTTTTTTTTGTCATCGCAACTCACTTTTCCGTCGTCGCTTCCGCCGATTTCCTTTTGGCAACGGCTTCTTGAAGTTCTTTTTGCAATTGAAGTTTTTCATTTTCCAAATTCATCAATTGTTGTTTGACTCCCGAGTCTTCTTCGTTGCTCGCGAGATTTTCATCATCCGCCGTCGCCGACGCCATCATCGCCTCCGCATCCGACAAATATTTTTTTTCATTTTCCACGAAAGGTTTCAAACCGATTATCCTATCTTCCAATGCTTTGAATTTCCCTTCCATTTCTCCCTTGAGCCTTTCTTCGATTTTACATTTGGCCTGCCATTTTCAAAGGTAAAAAAAAAAAAAAAAAAAATTATTTTCATTATTTTCTATTATTTTTCTTTAACGTGGTCAGAATTTTTTTGTGTGACCTCCTCGCACGTCGCCATTTAAAACGAAAAAAAAAAGGGGGGCTCCATTCACGGTCGGTCGAAATGACGACAAAAAAAATATTTTTTTTTTTTTTTACATGCATGCATGAGCGTTTGCAATTAAAAATCAACGTGTAATAATAAATTAAAAGTAAACACAATAAAAAAATTATTAAAATTTATAATTAATATTTAGTCCTAATGCAAACTTGTTCGCGACGATGATTTTAATATGAAAATTTTAATGAAAATTTTGAGTGGGTTCATTCTCCATTTTCATTATTATTATTATTACAACATTTTCCAATATTTTCCTTTTTCCGTTTTATTTCTTTCCCAACACCCTTTTCCCCTACCCCTACCCCTACCCCTACCCTTCCATCCATCCATCCATCCATCCTCTTTTTATCTTTCAGAGATTTCCCTCGTTTCAATCAATAATTTTTGGAAATCGACGAGGAAAAAAAAAAAAAAACGAAATTCAATTGCAACGTGAAAAATTCGTTTGTGTCCAAAATTTTTTCTCTTATTTTTTGGCAAGAGAGAAAGAAGACAAACAGAGAGAGAGAGAGAGAGAAAAGCGAGAGCTAAAATGAACTTTTACACTCGGTTAAAATTTAATAAAGAGAAAACGAGTGAAAATTTCTATTAAAAAAAACGAGATACGACTTCGCTTATTTTCTACTCCATACAGAAAAAAAAAAAAAACTGTAGTAATAATAATGATGATGATGATGATGATAAAAGTAAAATTCAATTTAAAAGCGAGGGAGTAAAGTAAATTTTCCTCTCCTCGCCGATTGTTTTCTCAGGAATTTTTAATTTCCGGAAAATTTTAACAAAAAACGGAAACTGCAATTTTTTTTTTTTTCCTTTCGTAATTTTTATTAAAAAAAAAAAAAAAAAAAAAAAAAAAAAAAAAAAACCCATGGAAAAA